ACTGTTCAGGGTTGGAACTCTGCGGTCGTATCCAGCTGCGCTCAGCAAAGCATTTTATTGGTTATTATCTTGAATATTATAATAGATAGAGATAAACTGTAAACAGCAAAATTGTTCAGCAAAGTAAGCTCTACAAATAAGTCAAAGATGACCAACATTTTTGCCCTTTAAAGTCAAATTTTCACAATTTTTATACGTCCGTTTAGGGGACGTATTATGGTATACTGTTGTCCGTCTGTCCGTCCGTCTGTCCTCCCGTCTGTCCGTCCGTCGTCAACATGTCGGACATTAACTCAAAAACGCTTCAACCAATTTGCATAAAACTTTGGTGAATTGTTTATATCTATTGACATGAGCTCCCTTACGTTTTTTATAAATTTTAGATTTTGTGTTTCCAAGTTATGGGGTTTTGTTCATTAAAAAAAGGAGGATTTTCCAGTTTTCGGACAATAACTCAAGAATGCTTTCACCAACTTGCAAGAAATTTTGGTGAATTGTTGATATCTATTGACATGAGCTCCCTTTCGATTTTTATATATTTTAGATTTTACGTTTCCGAGTTACAGGGTTTTATCCATAAAAAAAGGGGAATTTTCCACTTTTCTGACAAAAAATCAAAAATGCTTTCAGCAGTTCTTATGAAACTTTGGTGAATTGTTAATATCTATTGATGTAAGCTCCGTTTAGAATTTTATAAATTTTACATTTAACATTTCTGAGTTATGGGGTTTTATTCATTAAAAAAGGGGGGATTTTCCAGTTTTCTGACAATAACTCAAAAATGCTGTCAGCAATTCTCATGAAACTTTGGTGAATTGTTTATATCTATTGATGTAAGCTTTCATTACATTTTCATGAATTTCTAATATGACATTGAGAATTAATTGAACTTTAATTGTTTATAGTCTGACAACAGATTTACTAAGTATTGCGCAACACCACAGTGTATTGCACAACAGCAAGAAATCTTTAATTGAATATAAATTCAATTCATATAAACAATTTCAAGTTCTTTGACCACATTTATTCAGAAACCTATAATATGTCAAATATTTAATACAATCCAAATTCAGACCTGTATCAAGCTTGAATATTGTGTCCATTTTTGCCCCAACTGTTCAGGGTTGGACCTCTGCGGGCGTATCCAGCTTTGCTCAGCGAAGCAGTTTATTAGTAAATTTTTGTAATCTTTTACAAAAATCTTCTCCACTTAATCTACCGGGCCAAATAGAATTAAACTAAGCCATAATTTTCAATAGGGTATCTTGTTTGAAAAATGTATCCGATGACCCTGTCATTCAACCAACATGCCCACCATGGCTAAAAATAGAACATAGGGGTTTACTATAGAAGTCTATGGGAAAATTGTAAAAAAACAATTTCAAATGGTCACAACTTGAAAACTAATTTAAAAAATGATAAGGGGTCTTCATTGTACCATGCTTTCAAAAACAGTGTCTGACTTTTTCATATAAAGTATGTGACTTATTGTTGCATGTCAAACATCACTTGTTCCTGCCTATTCAGGACAAGAAACTGTAAACAATCAATACAAGAGGCAGGCACTGCAAGAGGAATAAAAAGTTCTATCACCACTGATAATTTAGCAAGGGTGGTACTAATATTTTGCCCTGATATCAAAATTACATAAACGATAATGAAACCACATCAGTCAGTCAAGGGTGTAACTTGAACATTGTTGAATAAGTTATTTGAGAAAAATAACATACATGTGTTATTACGGATACTTTCTCTTAATCTGTAGTAACATATGTTTGTTGTCAGTTAAATGTACCATGAAATTTTTTATTTTCAGTGGGCACTTGGGAATTCTTGAAACTTGCGCAGTAACTTAATACATAACCTTGAAAACTAATTTTCCAATTCAATTAATACATTTTTGATCAACCATGGTAAATCAATGAGACAAGGCTTTTAAGTGATAACTTAGCTGTAATAACAAGGCTTAAAGTTATTACAGGCATTGAACTTATTACATGAGACACTTGGGAATGACTAGGAAGCTTGCGAAGAACCTCATTACATGCTCTTATCATTATGTATGACAATAAATTAAAATACATTGTGATATATGTAGGAGAAAAGGCTTTGAAGAGATGTAGAGAAGCTGTAATAACACCCTTTAGTTATTACAGGCATATTTTTCCTGTAATAACTTAGGTGTGTTATGCATGATTGGCAAACTATGAGCTGTTATATCTTTCTAAAGTTTAATATACATAAAGACAATTATAATATCAATAGAACTAGTACACAATTTAACAAAATAAAGGATGTATACGTAATGCCCCTTTGAAACATGTAACATACATATGTTATCACAGATTTTTGATTTTTTAGCCCTCAATAACAAATGTATGTTATTTTTCTCTAATAAGTTATTTAAGTTAGACCCTTGACTGTCAGTCAAAAAATTGGATAGACTTTTAAAAATAAATTAAGTCATTTTAACATTTCACTCATTATGAGATATGGGTCTAAATTTCAATTTCAGATTTTCATGAAATTCCCTCAGTTAAATTTTTTAATGGATAAACTTATGAGATTTGACCATCCATTATCCACTGTTGCCTCTAGTTTCAAGCTTGATATATATTGTATCTATGTCTATTGTTGAAGACTGTATGCAGTGGTGGATTCAGATGGGGGCTGTTGAAGAGGGTCCCCAGTGTTATTTTTTGGCATAAAACACTGATTCAACCCTACACTTATAGAAATACATGTATATTGATTTTATAATTTATCTATAAAGCTGCAATATGGAAATTATCCAAATTAAAGTATTCACCCCTTTGCTCAATGTACTGACATAGATATTTTCCACAACAAATGCACAATTAAAATGACGCAATATACCATGTCTAAAACCAAATACTTTGAAATTGATATTACGCAGAATACATTTTAGCTGACATAAGGAATGGGCATGACACACAATTTATGTTATTGAAATCTGCCTTTAATGTCATGTTTGTTCCTGACATTTATTAAAAAAAAGAACTGTTTAAAGTAGGGGCAAACCTGGATTACAGCCAGTATAAAATCTAAAATGCCAAAGCAGTGCTTACTAATAAGCAAAATTTGAAAAGTTTTGAGTCAGATTAGGGGAAGGGTTTGGCGCCATCTAACTAGTTTAACCCCGCCACATTCTGTATGTGCCAGTCCCAAGTCAGGAGCTTATAATTCAGTGGTTGTCGTTTGTTACTGTGTACCATATTTGTTTTTCGTTCATTACTTTGTTCATAAGTTAGGCCGTTAGTTTTCTCGTTTGAATTGTTTTACATTTGTCATTTTGGGGCCTTTTATAGCTGACTTTGCGGTATGGACTATGGGCTTTGCTCATTGTCAAAGGCCGTACAGTGACCTATAGTTGTTAATTTCTGTGTCATTTGGTCTCTGGTGAGAGTTGTCTCATTGGCAATCATACCATATCTGCTTATTTTTATAGGTAAAATATAAATATGATAAAGAACTAAGAGAGAAGCTTATTGTCAATAATTGATTAATTTATACAATTTCTTAGCTGATAAATCAATTCATCCAGCATGTCCAGGGATGTGATGCCAAAAAGGTATTCAGAATGTTTGCATATTAAAAAATAGATAAAGTCAAAATTTCAGCATGGCGGCCAGTACCTGTAAATACCACTGGTAAAAATACCAGGGGTTGTATATATTTACCACCCAATCCATATTTTGATACATCATATTGATATGGCCTCAGCCATTAATATTTTCTTAGCTAAACATCTAGCTATGATACATAACCCCAATTGCCTGATGTCCCACACATGTTGACTTTTCACGTGGTAACAGAACAGGACTTGATTGACTAATATTGACTTTCAACAAAATGAACTCGAATTTTAGATGTATAGTTATCTCCCTTATTCCTTTAGATTTGTCTTACTAAATGAGGATCTTGATTGAGGGGGTGTCTTTATGTCTGGTATGTCTGTATCTATTAATTTTTAGGGCATTTTCCTCTTTGAATAGACTATTTTTTGGGGCAATTAGTCTCAATTTTTTGTTTGTTTTTTGTACAGCCTATTTACAAGCCGCAAAGGAGCATTTATTTAACACCTTGCACAGTTACTCAGTTGGATAAGATTCTCTTTTACTTCTTGTGATAAAAGGTGGAACTTAAATTGAACCATATACAAATTGAGTGAATTTGAGTAACTTAACTATAACCATGGTGTAAACTTAATGTATTATTCCTGACCTGATATGCACTTTTAGAATTCAATTATACATTTCAAGAAGTTAACTGAGGAAGGCACACTAATAACTCTTTATTTTTTATAACAAGTACATATAATTAATTATAACTAAAAGTTTCAAGAAGGGAGGATTGCCTCCCCTGAATCACTATAAAAATGGAATGCTGAAATGTAAAAAAAGTATTAGATTATTCATCTTGTATGGAAAAGAATTTACATATGCATGATATGTTTTACCTTATGTCCAATCCTTTTTTTTCAATGAAAATTTGTTGTTAAAACAATAAAATACATGTACTTTGAATTGAATTGAAATTGTAGAGGATGGAAATTTATATTAACAGAAATGCTCCTGATGGGGACAGTTATTGCTTCTACTTACAAACTTGTTAAATGTACAGTCACTTTGCTAAAGAAACAGGGGAATAAAAAAGTAATAAATCACATTTAAACTACAAGATTATACATGTATGTACTTCATAATGATAATTTTTCTGATACTCAAATAAGTTTCAGGCAGTTTACTGGTAAAAAGCATGTATCAGCTGAGACTTGTTTAACACAATTTGCAACTTCAGAATAAAAAAAATGATTATTGTTCAATACTTTATTCCAAATTATGCAGTGAGGTTGCTTAAAACAATCATTCAGTTAGTGGATATCCGTTAATTTTTAGTTTACAAAAATGCATACATGTATCTAACTCTATGCCTATAAACAGGACGATCTAGCACCACAAAATCTTTTTCCATTGCAGATTAGCCAGGGAAGAATTAACAAAGGAGGCTAAAAGAGGAGCAGAGAGAGCAAGAGAAATAGGAGCATATGGATGGTAATTAAAATTTGAAATGAAGTTCCTTTCCCAGTGTTGGGCAATGTCAATAACTTTGATAAAAAAAAAGAGGAGTCAAAATACATATATCTATATTGAACACAGTTTGGGACCACAGAAAATTTCAACTCATCCACAATATCTCGTCAACCTATTTCCAGAGCATGAGATAAAAAAAATATTAAAATAAATAAAAAAATAAACCAACTTTGATCAAATTTGTCAGTCTTTGTAACATGGTTAGCGGCAGACTAAGATATGATTGAAAGAAACATGCTAATTAGTTTCTGATCTCATGCACAGAATCCCCATGTTTTGAATTGAAGATATGTATCATGTGGAAAATATTGTAAACCATGACTACCAAATCAAGGGAGATAATTTATTAAATTGGTTTGCTTTCAAGCTAAACATGCTAAAGGTATTAGTTTTTTTTTCTTCAAAATATTTTTTTTTTCTTCTTTCAGACCTGAAATATAAAACTATATGCTGAGGTCACCATTTAAAAAATAACAATTTGAAGATTTAATTACCAGGGGTAGTATTAAAATAAGGTGATTTGGAATATTTGCCAATGAGACAACTATCCATTAAAGACTGAATGATAATATTGTAACAACTACTGGTCACTGTACAGACTTCAACCATGAGCAAAACCAATACTGTATAATACTATTAAAGGCCTGACAGAACATAATGTGAAACAATATGAAAGGAGAAAACCAATAGACCTAATTTATACTACAAAAATTGTAAGTCAATTATTGAAATCAGTAACCAATGACAGTTGCTTGAATACAGGTTCTTGACTAATGACAGGCACATAAAGAATTTAGAAGGGTTAAACATTTTTGTGAGTGCTCAAAACTCCCCCTCACTTGAGACAATGAATAAACAAAATAACAGACGAATAAACTAAAAGTCAGTTTGAAAGAGCTTATTTCATCAGATTGGTACAAAGTAAATTGTTTTGCATGTTGGGTTCTTTTATAGCGGACCATATGGTATGGATTTTGCTCATTGTTGAAGACCGTACTGTGAACTGTCATTACTTACTTGCCCATAATGTCCTCATTTGGACTCTGATGGATATTTGTCTCATTGGCAAATCATACCACTGGAAACTTTGTTATAAACAATGCTAAAATATCTGTTCTTGTTGGAACAAATATTATAAACCCTTTATTCTGTAAAGGAACAAATATTGTAATATTTGTTCCAGTGGAAATAATATTACAGAATATTTCTTCTACTTGGAACTTAAATTATCAATGAACTTATATTTAATGACACCACAACTCCTTATTTTTATACAAGAAAAACAAAAGACATGAAGTACATCTAAGATTAGCGTCAGTTACTTTAAAGCCCAATTTCAACTTATGAATAAACTATGTTTTCTCAAATTAAAGTATGTTACTTGATTTGAACAGTGCTGTCTCAATCATCTAAAGAAATAATGTTTGGTAATAAAAGAAAATATCTATGAAGTGACAAAGCAAAATTGCATGTTTCATGATGTCAGTAGTATCAGTGTTGCAAAATATCAGGTCAATGATGGACAAACATCAATAAAACAGCACCTCAACATCCAAAAAAACAATATTTGAAGGTTAACATTGAGTCTTCAATAATAGGAAACAACTAATGACTATGCAATAAATACAAGGATCTAAAAGGATCTGGTCTTGATACATGTAAGTTCAAAATTGCTCTTATATCCCAATTATGGATGTGCTATGAGAAGTCATTAGACTAGACAACTCTGAAATTGATCTGGCGTTACCTTTTATTTGTATAATCCTTAAATAATAATCTTTACCATACTGTTACACTACAGGTTGCAATAATCTAGTTTTTACAATAATCTTTATAGGGTAAAGAGACCAGGAGCTACAACTGACAAGAAATTTCTGGGAAATGTTTTAGTCAGTACTCTCAGATCGAATAAGAGAAAGCCTTCACGAGACCAAGATCACAGACCCCACAGAAGAAAATATGATGATAAAAGAGACAGTCATGAACATTCCCGTCACAGTTATCATCCAAGACATCATCCACCAAAGTTGGTAAACGGTGGATATTTTCGTTACAACGATCAAAGAAGATATTCTCATTCGGAAAATGGGAAAAATGAAGAAAAAGAATTTTCAGAGAAACATGCAAGGATCATTGACAGAGATGATTCTCAGGGAAATAGAAAATCAATGTCTGTATCTGATAGACTAAAAGATGAAGAGAAAGAAGAAAAAAGCAGTGAACATGAGAAATCATATCAAAAAGAATTATGTAAAGAACACAAAAAAGATTTTAAGAACAAAAAATGTAGAGATGATAAAAAAGATCGTCAGAAAAAGACAGCAAAAGAAAGAAGGAAGAAAGAAAAAAGCAAGGAAGAGGAACAGTATATTCATTCAGATGAAGGAAAAGTGAAAATAACAGGCAAGAAATCTGATAGTGATCTCATCTCAGAAAAGACATATCACAAGGACACAGGTCAGGGTCATCGAAGAAGGAATATTTCAAGTATAAGTGAAGAAGAGAGCTTACTTGAGGATATTAAAAAACATAAAGACAGTGATGACGACAAAAATCCTCAGGAAAAAATTATTGATATTTTTGGAGACTATTTAATTGAGAAAAAGCAGAAAAAGAAGAAAAATAAACATAAAAGTCATAAAGCAAAACATAAACACAAAAAACACAAACAGAAACATGATAAAGCAAACGAAGATTCTTGACTGACTGTTTTTATATCCAAAATTCATGTTAATTACTACATTGTTAAATCATTAAATGTGTTTGTTTTTTGTCTTGAATGCCATGAATATCACAAAACGGGAGATGTAAGGATGTTATGATTCAAGAAGTGTTGCCTTTATCCCTTAGCATAAGATTTTATATTTTAGAAGGTAGAAGATGAGGACAACCCATATTTGGTACCAATCTAGCAAATGCCTATTGTCCTTGACATAATTTTCATGGTTCATAACCACTTCATAACATTGTATAGTTTTTCATCATGAGATCTTTTCAGTTACAGATGTCATAAGTAACATGACAACAATATTTTGGTATGTAGATTCATTGCAAAATATTTTTTGTTCATCAGAAAGGCTTCATCTGACTTGGACCTCATTTCATGGTTCAATTTTTTTGTCTTCATGGCAACAATTTAACTGTCTAAGAAACAAGAGGAAGGGTGCCATGGAGCATGGGTGGCAAATAATTGTTTAATTTTTATATTTCAGAAGGTATAAGAGCTGGATAATTCATATTATGGTCTAAAATTTCAATCTACATGTAGCCTGAACCTCACTTGCATACTTCAGTGACTGCACAATACATGTACATATAGTTTATTTGTCACATGATTTTTCAGTTCCCATGAGTAATCAGGCAATAGGACAACCATATTTGGTATATAAAATCTATACAAGGTATACATGAGTGTCTAATAGGGTTCATCTGTAAATCATTTCGTGGCCTTTTAAAGCTGATTATGCGGCATGGGCTTTGTTCATTGTTGAAGGCCGTACGGTGACCGATAGTTGTTTAATTTCTGTCTTTTGGTCTCTTGTCATCCTTGTGGAGAGTTGTCTCATTGGCAATCATACCACATCTTCTTTTTTATATCACCTCATTGTCATGCTTTGTCCAGAGCATGCATGTAATATTTGCCACTGGTATTTTAGCAAACAACAATTTATCATTTTCAACAACATGAACAATAGGGTTATCTTACCTGTACATCATTTTCATGGATAGATTATGCAATATTGATAGCCTTTGTTTAAAAGATTTTAACATTTTAAAATTTAGGACAAAAGGGACAATTTTTCGTTCCCTATTGTTAATTTCCCTTTTTTGGATGGTGATGTTCCTTTGGCACCATCTTGTTGTGTTTATATTTCACAACTCGTTCGCTATGCCTGTGTCTGTTGTGATGTTTTATATTTTAATGAATATAATCTATGTATTACTGGTAAATTATTAAGTCAGGGATTTCGTTACCACAAATTACTTAAAACCTTTACTATATTCTTCCATAGATATAAAGATTTGGTTTTGAAGTTTGGTTGTACCTGTAGAATTTTCAAAAGGGATAGCACATCCTCATTTTTACGGAGATGTTGTTTTCCATGCCCGGAAATTTAGAAACGATTCTGGTAAACTTATCAATCCTTTAAATAAACTTATTCTAAAAGGTTACCAATTCAACACTGTAATTAGATCTCTGAATATTGTTTTTATTGGTATTAATATTGATTTTTTATCAGTAAATTAAAAGCAAACTAAATATTATTGTTATATACATATGCACTTTCATGGATCTACAATCTGCCGATACCTGTATATTGGCATTGCACCAGGTCATGTTTTATCAGCTGAGACTTGTTTAACACAATTTGCAACTTCAGAATTAAAAAAAATGATTATTGTTGAATACTTTATTCCAAATTATGAGGTTGCTTAAAATATTCAATCATTGAGTTAGTGGATATCCGTTAATTTTTAATTTACAAAAAATGCATTTCTACCTATTTGCATATGAGCAGGACAAAAGCAAGGGAAATAACTGTAATAAACATTAGACAATTATGTCCAAAAGCTGAAACAAGTACAATAAAACCTGTATATAAACATGATAAATGGATTGTAGAAAACTTAACCTTTAAATGAGGTTTAAAATGCATACATATTACAGTGGTACAAGAAGGGGATGACATGAGAGAACAGGTTTTCACTTGATTGAGGTGACTTTAATTGCTGATATGACTTTAAATACTGTGTTTTCTTATATTTCTTGAAATTGTTATGCGGAAAAAAAAAAGAAAAACAAGTTTCAATCTTTTTCCATTACAGATTAGCCAGGGAAGAATTAACAAGCAGAGAGAGCAAGAGAGATAGGAGCATATGGATGGTAATTAAAATTTGAAATAAAGTTCCAGTGGCAGTGTTGGGTAATGTCAATGAGACTGCAATCCATACAACTTTGATAAAAAAAAGAAGAGTCAAAATACATATATATCTATATTGAACATAGTTTGGGACCACAGCAAAATTTCGGTTCATCAACAATTTCTCGTCAACCTATTTCTTGACTAGGAGATAAAAAAAATATAAAAATAAACCAAAAAATAAACCAACTTTGATCAAATTTGTCTGTCTTTGTAACATGGTTGGCAGCAGACTATGATATGATTGAAAGAAACATGCAAATTAGGTTTCGATATCATGCACAGAATCCCCATGTTTGGAAATAAAGATATGTATCCTGTGGAAAATACTGTAAACCATGACTACGACTTATTATTGACTACCAAATCAAGGGAGATAAGTTATTATATTTGTTTGTTTTCAAGCTAAACATGCTAAAGATGATAAGTTTTTTTTTTATTATTATAATTTTTTCTTTTCAAACCTGAAATATCAAACATTTTTGCTTAGGTCACCATTTAAATAAAAACAGTTTAAAGATTTAATTACCGTAGGTTTTTATTTTTTTTGGGGGGGGGGGGGCGGGGTATTAAAATAATGTGAAAATAACACAGAAAGAGAAAACCAACAACCTGACAAGTTCTACAACAACGACCAACGACTACCGCTTGATTACAGGTTCTTGACTTGGGACAGACACAAAAAGAATTTGGAAGGTTTAAGCATGTTTGTGGCTGCACAAAACTCGCCCTAGGCTAATCAGAAAAAAGGTATTTGTTAACCATTAACCTTAGGTCTTCAATAATAGGAAACAACAATGCAATCAATACAAAGATCTGAATGGACCTGGTCTTGACAAATCCAAAATGGCTCTGATGTTTGGCAGCCTTTTTATAGCTGACTATATGGTATGGGATTTTCTCATTGATGAAGGCTGTACGGTTGCATACAATTGCTTACATCAACTTCATTTGAACTTTGGTAGATAATTTTCTCATTGGCAATCCGACCATGTTTCCTTATTTTTATGTAATAAGGGATGTGCTTGAGTCATGCGGTATGGAAATTCGATAGTGTAGACATGTCAGAAATTTCTCTGACATCTCTGTTTACTGTCAATTCAGAAATTTTTGCAATGTTTTTATTATTGCGAAAAATGTGACAGGTTATAATTGCAATAATTTAAACTCGCATTTTGAAATTTTGTATATGAGTTAAACAGGATTTTTCTCAATATCGCAAAAATTAAAATTGCATTTTAGTCGAAAATGACAAAATCGAAATAATAAATGCACGCAATAATTTCTGAATTTACAGTATTTGTATAAACCATTAATATGAATTTTGAGCATTTAACATACTGTTACATGTGTGTACAGGTTACAATAATCTACTTTTTACAATAATCTTTATAGGGTAAAGAGACAAGGAGCTTCAACTGACAAGAAATTTCTAGGAAATGTTTTAGTCAGTACTCTCAGATCGAATAACAAAAAGCCTTCACGAGACCATGATCACAGACCCCACAGAAGAAAATATGAAGATAAAAGAGACAGTTATGACCGTTCCCGTCACTGTTATCATCCAAGACATCATCCACCGAAGTTAATAAATGGTAGATATTTTCGTTACATCGATCAAAGAAGATTTTCTCATACAGAAAATGGGAAAAAAGAAGAAAAAGTACCCTCAGAGAAACATGAAATGAAAAGCAACAAAGATGATTCTCAGGGAAAGGAAACAATGTCTATATCTGATAGACTAAAGAATGGAGAGAAAGAAGAATTGATAGAAGAGAAAAGCAGTGAACATGAGAAATTAAACTGTAAAGAATTGCATAAAGAACACAAAAAAGATTTTAAGAATAAAAAATATACAGATGATAAAAAAGATCGTCAGAAAAAGACAGCAAAAGAAAGAAGGAAGAAGAGGAACAGTATACTCATTCAGATGAAGAAAAAGTGAAAATAACATGCAACAACTCTGATAGTGATCTCATCTCAGAAAAGACCTATCACAGGGACAGAGGTCAAGGTCATCGAAGAAGGAATATTTCAAGTAAAAGTGAAGAAGATAGCTTACTGGAGGATATTAAAAAACATGAAGACAGCGATGACGAGAATAATCCTCACGAAAAAATTATTGATATTTTTGGAGACTATTTAATTGAGAAAAAGCCGAAAAAGAAGAGGAAAAATAAAAGTTACAAAGCAAAACATAAACACAAAAAACACAAACAGAAAACAAAAGAAGATTCTTGAATGATTGTTATCATATCCAAAAATCATGTTAATTATTACAGTGTTAAATGTTTTTTTTTGTCTTGCCAGCCATGAATATCTCTAAACTCAAGATGTAGGGATGTCATAAATCGAGCAATATTGGCTTTAGATTTTTGTATAACATGTATAAATGATCAGTTTTTTAAAGAAGATCTGGATAACCCATATCTTTTATCAAGATGCCTTCTGTCACTCCATAACCCACTTTTAAATGAGTGCATACATCTCATATGCATTTCAGTGAATTTGTGATTAAGGATACTGCCGATAGTAGAAGGTCTGCTTCATATCTTGAGCTTGCCTGCATGCTTAAAAAAACTTTGAATTTTTCGAAAAACAAAGTTTTTCTACCCCAGGAAGAGATGACCGTTGCTGTATTTATCAAAACTTGTCGAAATTTTTGGTCATCAATGCTCTTCAATTTCTTACTTTATTTGGCAAAACACGAATCATTGACAAGTGAGATGATTTCAACTAGCCAATACCTAAATGGTCAAGTTCCCCTTTCTCAGCAGGCAGTAACATATTCTGCTCCATCGTTTTGCATTTACATGTCTCAGTTTATATGCTACGCTTGTGCATGTTTACACTATACGAACTTCGTAAGCAGGTGTGTGCTCCTTTCACAAAAGCTGCTCCAAAAAATGAAAACAACACTTTTCAAATTTCGATGGTCCAAAGGGCTTTTCTGGATTAACCTCAAGGAACGCTCAAGGCCGAATATTTGAAAGCCAAGGATGTGTAAGAACCAAAACATTTTTTGACAAAAAGCTATCATACATTACAGGATTGCAGCTGGTTTCCACCA